ATAGTTACATCACATACATACATTGTATAATTGATACATTACATGGTTAATCTTGGGTACAAGTCCAATATATCATCAAGTGTTCCAGTACTCATATAGTAATTACAGAGTTCAGCATACCTTAGCCCAGGAGGGCGAAAGTCAGTCAGTATGGGACATTCTACAATATAATGTTCAAGAGAGTGCATGTTTTCTCTTTCACAAAGTTGACACATTGTGTACTCGACATTTGGGTTTTGAGAAAGCTGCCAGATACGTCTATATCCCAGGCGTATTCTGGCCACTATAACATCACATTGCCGGGTTCTTGTTCTATTAGTCCCATATGTGAATGTCTCCTCACGATATCTATCATAATATTTAATGCTACAACTTTCAGGTCTTTGTGAATTTGTTAGGTCGGTGAGATCTTCATTAGATATTTGTTTAAGTATTCTCTTTGTCACTGCTAATGAAACACCCATATCAATTTCTACCACTGGTTTTCTGCAGGCTGACTTAGCAAGCATATCAACAGTGTCATGCCTTGAGATGCCAACATGTGATGGTATCCATAGGAATTTAATTTCAAATCTGTTTTCTTTAGCAGCTAAAACATTCATTCGAATATCACTGACTATTTTCTGGGTGTCACTACTATGTGCGTTCAATGCCAGGAGTGCACTCTGCGAGTCACAGTATATAAGTCCACTGCCTTTGTCTTTTAAAAATTCAGTGGCAAGGTATATGCCTGCAAGTTCGGTTTGAGTTGTACTTGCCCAGTCATTGACGCGCTTCAATGCTGTATGTACGAGAGAAGATTGTTCAAATATGTTACATGCACATCCGGTACATCGTCCACCTTCTTCTACAGAACCGTCGGTATAGCACTGATACACATCGTTACCCATACTCTGAGTACTTTCATTGATGCTTTTCAGTGTTAACTGTTTTAATAATGTAGTGTGAACACTATCTTTCTTGGGCGCATTTACAAAATCAACTGATAGATCCCAGTTATATGTTTTTCTTCACTGTCGGTGGTAATAAAAATAACAATTCTCCGAAATTAATTTTTTAATTGTCTGACGCCTGAACGCGTTTCGTAATTCGTATAACATTTTCAGAGACTTAATTTATACTCAAATTCTTCGTACTTATACTCTATTGGATGAGGTGATATGGTACAAAAGTTTTGGGTGAGGTGACAAACACAAGACAGAACACGAAACAATGGGTAAAATTGGATAAGTGAACATATGAATGGAAGTAACTGCAGAGGGTCTCCATACTTCCTCTTGCTGCTTCCATATTGGTTCGGGGTCTTGAAGTAGGTAGAATATAGTTGTGCATTAATTGGCTGTTGATTGCTGGTGTTGACTTTTTGATGTGTAGTGCCTCGCTGATGTCTAGCAGGCCTGCTATCACCGTACCTATCGATGATTTCTGTGTTGTTTGTTAAGATTTCTCTGGTGATGGTCTGGTTGTGAGAAGAGATTATGTGTTCCTTGATGGCTCCCTGTTGCTTATGCATTGTTAGTCACCTAGAAAGAGACGTTGTTGTCTTGCCTATATACTGAGTTCTTTGGGGCTTACAGTCCCCAAGTGGGCATTTAAAGGCATAGACGACGTTGGTCTCCTTCAAAGCGTTCTGCTTGGTGTCTGGCGAGTTTTTCATAAGTAGATTGGCCGTTTTTTTTTTTTTATAATAAATTATCAATTATATTTTCTGATTTTTGTCTATAGGGATGACGTTCCTATCAACAATATCTTTCAGGACCTTTTCCTACGTTTTATGAGCCGTCGAAAAGAAGTTCCTGTAAAATAGTCTAATAGGGGTTACAAGTGTTGTGTTGGTTGACTCTTCAGAAGTTGCATGGCGTTTTACCTTTCTTTTTATGATGTCTTCAACGAAACCGTTAGAGAAGCCGTTGTTGACTAGGACCTGCCTTAATCTACAGAGTTCTTCATCGACTTCTTTCCATCCTGAGCTGTGGCTTAGAGCACGCTCGACGTAAGCATTGACAACACTCCTCTTGTACCTGTCTGGGCAGTCACTATTGGCATTGAGGCACATTCCTATATTTGTTTCTTTGGTGTAGACTGCAGTGTGGAAGCCTCCGCTCCTTTCCGTGACTGTTACATCCAGAAAGGGCAGCTTCCTATTGTTCTCCATCTCGTACGTGAAACTCAACACAGAATTCTGCTCAAATGCCTCCTTCAGCTGCTGCAGACATCTGGCATCAGGTACCTGTGTAAAAATGTCGTCAACATACCTGCAGTATATGGCGGGTTTCAAGCCCATGTCAACTAAAACCCTCTAACAGTTGTATGCTCGAAGATGAATTCATCTGGATGTTGATTACTGGTGTCAGCTCCCGAATGATCACAACGTCCAGTGTACGAAGCCTCTTACGACCGTCGGTGTGTGTGTGGGATTAGTTTTTGTATCTTTCATTGTCGTGGTGATTCATGATGGTGTTGAGAATGATGTTGCTTAATGCCTTTGTCTTGCAAGTGTTGCATAATGCCTTCCTCTTGCAAGTGTTGCATAATGCCTTCCTCTTGCAAGTGTTGCATTATGCCTTCCTCTTGCAAGTGTTGCATAATGCCTTCCTCTTGCAAGTGTTGCATTATGCCTTCCTCTTGCAAGTGTTGCATAATGCCTTCCTCTTGCAAGTGTTGCATTATGGCTTCCTCTTGCAAGTGTTGCATTATGCCTTCCTCTTGCAAGTGTTGCATTATGGCTTCCTCTTGCAAGTGTTGCATTATGCCTTCCTCTTGCAAGTGTTGCATTATGGCTTCCTCTTGCAAGTGTTGCATTATGCCTTCCTCTTGCAAGTGTTGCATTATGGCTTCCTCTTGCAAGTGTTGCATAATACCTTCCTCTTGCAAGTGTTGCATAATGCCTTCCTCTTGCAAGTGTTGCATAATGTCTTCCTCTTGCAAGTGTTGCATAATACCTTCCTCTTGCAAGTGTTGCATAATGTCTTCCTCTTGCAAGTGTTGCATAATACCTTCCTCTTGCAAGTGTTGCATAATACCTTCCTCTTGCAAGTGTTGCATAATGCCTTTCTCTCGCAAGTGTTGCATAATGCCTTCCTCTTGCAAGTGTTGCATAATGTCTTCCTCTTGCAAGTGTTGCATAATACCTTCCTCTTGCAAGTGTTGCATAATGCCTTCCTCTTGCAAGTGTTGCATAATGCCTTCCTCTTGCAAGTGTTGCATAATACCTTCCTCTTGCAAGTGTTGCATAATGCCTTCCTCTTGCAAGTGTTGCATAATGCCTTCCTCTTGCAAGTGTTGCATAATGCCTTCCTCTTGCAAGTGTTGCTTAATGTCTTCCTCTTGCAAGTGTTGCTTAATGTCTTCCTCTTGCAAATGAAGTGTAAAACTTCTACTCAGTGTATTCTTTGTATGTCCAATGTAGCATATATACCGGAGTGCGCTGTGTGCAGAGCTCCATGTGTGTTGATACTTTACACTGGTACACCTCAGTAATGTTGTGTCCCACACAAGGGAGAGTTTTTTCAAACATTTGGGACTCTTAACTCTTGCAGTGAGTGTTGACTTGGCCAGTCCTGTGGGACCTATAGTGATTTGACGGCAAAGTTCTTAGTCTCGGTGACTTATTGTTGTTAATGTTAGTGACTTGAAGTTGCCCAGCACTGGATACATTAATGTTGTTGAGTCTATGGAGACTTTGAATTTGAATAGTCAATCGAAACTTTAAAGTTGACTAAGGTCACAATTATTACAACTTTACTACAACTTAGATGCACTTCAACTGCCGTCGAAGTCACCAATGTTCCCAAGTTTTATAGAACCTGAGCTAGTGAATAGCCTTAACTCTTGAGCATCTAGAGTAACTCTGGTGTACTCATGACCAAACCTCACACAAGATGGAGAAACAACGCCGCTTCGGCGTGTCCCTGACCGTTATGAAGTGGTATGTCGCATATCACACCACGGTCCGGTCGTGGTGTGTGAGGGGGAGCCCGTCGGCCCAGCGGACAGCACGCTGGACTTGTGATCCTGTCGTCCCGGGGTCGATCCCGGGCGCCGGCGAGAAACAATGGGCAAAGTTTCTTTCACCCTATGCCCCTGTTACCTAGCAGTAAAATAGGTACCTGGGTGTTAGTCAGCTGTCACGGGCTGCTTCCTGGGGGTGGAGGCCTGGTCGAGGACCGGGCCGCGGGGACACTAAAAAAAAGCCCCGAAATCATCTCCAGATAACCTCAAGATAACTACTTGACAATGGTTCAGGACGGAGCGAAACATGGTCGTCTCCTCATCTCCTGGTGTTAGGCCTACTCAACACATCATCAGCCACGTTATTGTGACTCATCGCCAGCCTAGTGAACGCGTGTTGTTAAGCTGTGTACCTGAACCTGTTAACTTAGTGACATCTAGCTTCAGTGACACGTGCCACGGTTATTAACTTTGTGGTTGTATCTTGTATATAGCTGGTGTTGTGTCTGATACGTTCAGTTAGTTAACGGGTGGAGGGTAATGTAGGCTTTTACTATCCCTACACACCATAAAGTTGTGATTTACTTGAGAGCAAGAGTGCTGAGCGGTAAGTCTATACTACGACCATTACTTGTGGTCATGACAAGGGGGAGGGAGGGAGGGAGAGAGAGAGAGAGATAGAGAGAGAGAGAGACAGAGAGAGAGAAGGAAGAGAGACAGAGAGAGAGAGAGAGAGAGAGAGAGAGAGAGAGAGAGAGAGAGAGAGAGAGAGAGAGAGAGAGAGAGAGAGAGAGAGAGAGAGAGAGAGAGAGAGAGAGAGAGAGAGAGAGAAGGAAGAGAGAGAGAGAGAGAGAGAGAGACAGAGAGACAGAGAGACAGAGAGAGAGAGAGACAGAGAGAGAGAGAGAGAGAGAGAGAGAGAGAGAGAGAGAGAGAGAGAGAGAGAGAGAGAGAGAGAGAGAGAGAGAGAGATAGATAGAGAGAGAGAGAGAGATAGAGATAGAGATAGAGATAGAGATAGAGATAGAGAGAGAGACGGAGAACAGATAAATAATGAAGATGTACGAAGAAAAATAAAGAATAAGTGTGTGAGAAAGGAGAAGCAAGACAACAGAGAATTACAGTGACATTCGCTGTTCAAACTTCCGTACTCCATAAACCTGGTAATTACGAACGCTCTTGTTCCAAAATGTTTAATGTAACTTTCCATTCCTAGTGTACGTATTTTTATTTTATAAATGTTCAGTATTATTATCATTAACATTATGTTATAAATTCATAAAAACATGAAGTCATTATCTGTGATAAAAGTGAACATTTTAATTTATTTTCCGCTGTGCAGGAATAAAATATTATAATATATAAAATGAGTTCATGTAGCAATGGCAATATTTTCATAAGGGTAATTAAGGTGCGTTGTAAAAGGTGATTAGCGTGATACAAGGCAATTGTTGCCCTGATATTATACACTTTATTATAGGAGTATAGGAGACATCTCTGATCTGTTTCTCTCTCTCCCTGTTGTTCTGTATCTCCTTCCCTGTTGTTCTGTGTATCCTTCCCTGTTGTTCTGTCTCTCCTTCCTTGTTGTTCTGTCTATCCTTCCCTGTTGTTCTGTCTATCCTTCCCTGTTGTTCTGTCTCTCCTTCCTTGTTGTTCTGTCTATCCTTCCCTGTTGTTCTGTCTCTCCTTCCTTGTTGTTCTGTCTATCCTTCCCTGTTGTTCTGTCTATCCTTCCCTGTTGTTCTGTCTCTCCTTCCTTGTTGTTCTGTCTCTCCTTCCTTGTTGTTCTGTCTATCCTTCCCTGTTGTTCTGTCTATCCTTCCCTGTTGTTCTGTCTCTCCTTCCTTGTTGTTCTGTCTCTCCTTCCTTGTTGTTCTGTCTATCCTTCCCTGTTGTTCTGTCTATCCTTCCCTGTTGTTCTGTCTATCCTTCCCTGTTGTTCTGTCTATCCTTCCCTGTTGTTCTGTCTATCCTTCCCTGTTGTTCTGTCTATCCTTCCCTGTTGTTCTGTATCTCCTTCCCTGTTGTTCTGTCTCTCCTTCCTTGTTGTTCTGTCTATCCTTCCCTGTTGTTCTGTATCTCCTTCCCTGTTGTTCTGTATCTCCTTCCCTGTTGTTCTGCCTCTCCCAGTTCCTCTAGCCTCACGCAGCCTCTACTGTAGTTGCATGGAGTCACTGTATGATATTAGGAACCAACAGCTGGGGGTAACCTTTTAAGCATTATATAATGGAAGTCATTTTATGATGTAAATTAACTTCTAACTACTTCTAACTGCTTATAACTACTTGTAACTGTAGCAGCTCTTATGAGAACACTTCACTCTTGAGTGAACAGCGTGTTAATTGAGTCTTTGGGGTCGGCCGCCGGATGGAATGACCATATATTGAGGACTGGAGTCTTGTGTTTTATTAAAAAAAAGGGGTTTGGCGGCTGGATTAACAAGCATTTGATATTTGTTGATGAGGATGGGAAGTTTATTCAACATTATTTGTATTAAAATGTATAATAAGGCATCGATTGTTAAGTTAAACATAAGACACACTAACAAGACGTAACAGCCTCGTCTGTGTGAATTACGGACTTTACCTTACCTGCGTTAGTGTCCATTGTGAAGAGCCTTCAGGTGTTCTATGTCTCCTGGAGGCTCTCCAGAGCCGGCAAATTATGCAAACATCACCATCGCACAAATTATAACACACAAATACATAAATAAAAGGGGAATAAACATCGATAACTCTGGGATCCGCCACTATATGTCCCCCCCCCCCCACAGACAATGTTTACATGTGACGTCATGTCAGGGCGAGCTTCTGGTTGGCCGCGATGCAGGGAATTAAGACCAATCCGGAAATAGCTTACAAAATGCTCATATTCGTCCATCCAATCACGTATATTGTTGTATCTTCCGAGGCTCGGATATAACATATCTTTATACAGAGTGAAATATGAAAAAGTTTTCCAGATTGTCCCAAATTTACATTTTTGATCTTCGTATTTACATGCAAAGTGGAGGAGTTTTTTTACGAGGAAAATATGAAGAATTCTGGATGTTGGCATCGAATATAATTACTACACGAAGCGCTCTGATTTATTGTAATGCAATAATACATTAATTGATGATGGCTGATACTGTATTCAATAGTTTTATGTTGGGGGATTTAGCTAAATTTTTATGAACATGTGTATTAATTTATATTTTGGAGTGGGAGCATTAAGTGATCACTGGTAGTGATATGCTGACTCCGAACCCTCACTGTTTAGTCACTGTCGTTGTCTTCACCGTCGTCAGTGTCGTCACTGTCGTCCTCTTCACCGTTGTCAGTGTTGTCACTGTCGTTGTCTTCACCGTTGTCAGTGTTGTCACTGTCGTTGTCTTCACCGTTGTCAGTGTTGTCACTGTCGTTGTCTTCACCGTCGTCAGTGTTGTCACTGTCGTTGTCTTCACCGTTGTCAGGGTCGTCACTGTCGTTGTCTTCACCGTTGTCAGTGTTGTCACTGTCGTTGTCTTCACCGTTGTCAGTGTTGTCACTGTCGTTGTCTTCACCGTCGTCAGTGTTGTCACTGTCGTTGTCTTCACCGTTGTCAGGGTCGTCACTGTCGTTGTCTTCACCGTTGTCAGTGTTGTCACTGTCGTTGTCTTCACCGTCGTCAGTGTTGTCACTGTCGTTGTCTTCACCGTTGTCAGTTTTGTCACTGTCGTCCTCTTCACCGTTGTCAGTGTTGTCACTGTCGTTGTCTTCACCGTCGTCAGTGTTGTTGTCGTCACCGTCGTCAGTGTCGTCAATGTCGTTGTCTTCACCGTCGTCAGTGTCGTCACTGTCGTTGTCTTCACCGTCGTCAGTGTTGTCACTGTCGTCCTCTTCACCGTTGTCAGTGTTGTCACTGTTGTTGTCTTCACCGTCGTCAGTGTTGTCACTGTCGTTGTCTTCACCGTTGTCAGTGATGTCACTGTCGTTGTCTTCACCGTTGTCAGTGTTGTCACTGTCGTTGTCTTCACCGTCGTCAGTGTTGTCACTGTTGTTGTCTTCACCGTTGTCAGTGTCGTCACTGTCGTTGTCTTCACCGTTGTCAGTGTTGTCACTGTCGTTGTCTTCACCGTCGTCAGTGTTGTCACTGTCGTCCTCTTCACCGTCGTCAGTGTCGTCACTGTCATTGTCTTTACCAATATGTGTATATATATATATATATATATATATATATATATATATATATATATATATATATATATATATATATATATATATATATATATATGTCGTACCTAATAGCCAGAACGCACTTCTCAGCCTACTATGCAAGGCCCGATTTGCCTAATAAGCCAAGTTTTCATGAATTAATTGTTTTTCGACTACCTAACCTACCTAACCTAACCTAACCTAACTTTATCGGCTACCTAACCAAACCTAACCTATAAAGATAGGTTAGGTTAGGTTAGGTAGGGTTGGTTAGGTTCGGTCATATATCTACGTTAATTTTAACTCCAATAAAAAATTTTTACCTCATACATAATGAAATGGGTAGCTTTATCATTTCATAAGAAAAAAATTAGAGAAAATATATTAATTCAGTAAAACTTGGCTTATTAGGCAAATCTGGCCTTGCATAGTAGGCTGAGAAGTGAGTTCTGGCTACTAGGTACGACATATATATATATATATATATATATATATATATATATATATATATATATATATATATATATATATATATATGAGCATTAAAACTAGAGAAACGACAAGTATTATTTCAGACTATAATTGAAAATAACTATAGATGCCGACAAAAACTATTTGAGGCTTGCTGCTAGCTCCTGGCCTCCAGCCTCATACACACTAGTGAACACTTTTTAGCGTTGGCCGAACACACTCTTTATGTTATACATACTGATATGTCATGGCATCATGTGTCTCACACATGGTGAGACATACACCATGTGTCTTACTGAAGCTAGACTTCCTCCTCAGCTCCTTCCCTCCCTGCACCCTGCACCCTGCACCCTTGCACCCAAATAACAGAACACCAGAGAGCAGGGAGAGATACCAGAGGGCCAGAAATGAGTACCTCAGAGTGAGGAGGGAAGCAGAGAGACAGTTTGAAAATAACATCGCGAGTAAAGCCAAGACCCAACCAAAGCTGCTCAACAGCCACATCAGGAGGAAAACAGCAGTGAAGGAACAAGTGATGAAGCTGCGGAAAGGGGAGAACAGATACACAGAGAATGACAAGGAGGTGTGTGAAGAACTCAACAAGAGATTTCAGGAGGTCTTCACAATAGAACAAGGAGAAGCCCCTGCACTAAGTGAGGAGGCGGCAAACCAAGCAACCTTGGAGGAATTTGACCTCACCAGTGGTGAGGTCAAAAGGTGTCTGCTGGAGCTGGATGTGACAAAGGCTGTTGGACCTGACAGAATCTCACCATGGATACTAGAGGAAGGTGCAGAAGCACTAAGTGTGCCACTCTCTATGGTGTATAACAGGTCACTGGAAACAGGAGACTTACCAGAAAGTTGGAAGACAGCTAACGTGGTCCCAATATACAAGAAGGGTAACAGGCAAGAGGCACTGAACTACAGGCCAGTTTCCATAACTTGTATACCATGCAAGGTGATGGAGAAGATCGTGAGGAAAAGGCTCGTAGAGCATCTGGAGGGAAATAACTTTGTAATGCACCACCAGCATGGGTTCAGAGATAGTAAATCATGCCTCACAGGTTTAATAGAATTCTATAACCAGGCAACAAAAATTAGGCAGGAAAGAGAAGGGTGGGCCGACTGCATTTTCCTGGACTGTCAAAAAGCCTTTGACACAGTACCCCATAAAAGGATGTTAAAAAAGTTGGAGCAACAGGCAGGAGTAAAAGGAAAGGTGCTCCAGTGGATAAGGGAGTATTTAAGCAACAGAAAACAGCGAGTAACAGTGAGGGGGGAGACATCAGAGTGGCGAGATATCACCAGAGGAGTCCCACGGGGCTCAGTACTTGGACCCATCCTGTTTCTATTATATGTAAACGATCTTCCGGAGGGTATAGACTCATTCCACTCAATGTTTGCTGATGATACAAAAATTATGAGAAGAATCAAGGCAGATGAAGATAGACAGAGACTACAGGATGACCTGGATAAACTGGAGGAATGGTCTAGAAAATGGCTGCTAAAGTTCAACTCAGGAAAGTGTAAGGTGATGAAATTAGGCGAAGGGAGCAGGAGGCTGAACACAAGGTATCATCTGGGAGATGAAATCCTGCAAGAGTCAAATAGAGAGAAGGATCTGGGGGTTGATATCACACCGAACCTGTCCCCAGAGGCGCACATCAAAAGAATATCATCAGCGGCATATGCTAGACTGGCCAACATAAGAACTGCCTTTAGAAACTTGTGTAAGGAATCTTTCAGAACCCTGTATACCACTTATGTAAGACCAATCCTGGAGTATGCAGCTCCAGCCTGGAGTCCATACCTAGTTAAACACAAGACAAAGTTAGAGAAGATTCAGCGGTATGCCACCAGGCTCGTCCCGGAACTGAGAGGATTGAGCTACGAGGAAAGGCTAAAGGAGCTGAACCTCATATCCCTGGAAAACAGAAGAGTAAGGGGAGACATGATAACCACCTACAAAATTCTCAGGAGAATTGACAGGGTGGACAAAGACAAACTCTTCAGCACGGGTGGGACACGAACAAGGGGACACAGGTGAAAACTTAGTACCCAGATGAGCCACAGAGACGTTAGAAAGAATTTTTTCAGTGTCAGAGTAGTTAATAAATGGAATGCACTAGGCAGTGATGTGGTGGAGGCTGACTCCATACACAGTTTCATATGTAGATATGATAGAGCCCAGTAGGCTCAGGAATCTGTACACCAGTTGATTGACAGTTGAGAGGCGGGACCAAAGAGCCAAAGCTCAACCCCCGCAAGCACAATTAGGTGAGTATAATTAGGTGAGTACCCTGCACCCTGCACCCTACACCCTACACCCTACACCCTGCACCCTACACTCTGCACCCTGCACCCTACACCCTGCACCCTGCACCCTACACCCTACACCGTACACTCTGCACCCTGCACCCTGCACCCTGCACCCTACACCCTGCACCCTACACTCTGCACCCTGCACCCTACACCCTGCACCCTGCACCATACACCCTGCACCCTGCACCCTACACCCTGCACCCTACACCCTGCACCCTGCACCCTACACCCTGCACCCTGCACCCTGCACCCTACACCCTGCACCCTACACACTGCACCCTACACACTGCACCCTGCACCCTGCACCCTACACCCTGTACCCAGCACCCTACACCCTGCACCCTGCACCCTCCACCCTGCACCCTGCACCCTACACCCTGCACCCTACACCCTGTACCCTGCACCCTACACCCTGCACCCTGCACCCTACACCCTGCACCCTGCACCCTACACCCTGAACCCTGCACCCTTCACCCTACACCCTGCACCCTGCACCCTACACCCTACACCCTGCACCCTACACCCTGCACCCTGCACCCTACACCCTGCACCCTACACCCTATACCCTACACCCTGCACCCTGCACCCTACATCCTGAACCCTGCACCCTGAACCCTGCACCCTACACCCTGCACCCTGCACCCTACACCCTACACCCTACACCCTGAACCCTGCACCCTACACCCTGCACCCTACACCCTGCACCCTACACCCTGCACCCTACACCCTGCACCCTACACCCTGCACCCTACACCATGCACCCTGCAGCCTGTATGCTACACCTTGCACCATGCACCTTGCACCCTGTACCCTGCACCCTGTACCCTGCACCCTGCACCCTACACCCTGCACCCTACACCCTGCACCCTGCACCCTGCACCCTGCACCCTCCACCCTACACCCTGCACCCTGCACCCTGCACCCTGCACCCTGCACCCTGCACCCTACACCCTGCACCCTGCACCCTACACCCTGCACCCTACACCCTGCACCCTACACCCTGTACCCTGTACCCTGCACCCTACACCCTGCACCCTGCACCCTGCACCCTACACCCTGCACCCTACACCCTGCACCCTGCACCCTACACCCTGTACCCTGCACCCTACACCCTACACCCTGCACCCTACACCCTACACCCTGCACCCTACACCCTGCACCCTGCACCCTGCACCCTACACCCTGAACCCTACACCCTGTACCCTGCACCCTGCACCCTGCACCCTACACCCTGCACCCTGCACCCTACACCCTGCACCTTGCACCCTGCACCCTGCACCCTGCACCCTGCACCATACACCCTGCACCCTGCACCTTGCACCCTGCACCCTGCACCCTGCACCCTACACCCTACACCCTGCACCCTACACCCTGCACCCTGCACCCTGCACCCTGCACCCTACACCCTACACCCTGCACCCTACACCATGCACCCTGCAGCCTGTATGCTACACCCTGCACCTTGCACCATGCACCTTGCACCCTGTACCCTGCACCCTGTACCCTGCACCCTGCACCCTACACCCTGCACCCTACACCCTACACCCTGCACCCTGCACCCTGCACCCTGTACCCTGCACCCTGCACCCTACACCCTACACCCTGCACCCTGCACCCTGCACCCTGTACCCTGCACCCTGCACCCTACACCCTGCACCTTGCACCCTACACCCTGCACCCTACACCCTGCACCCTACACCCTGTACCCTGTACCCTACACCCTGCACCCTGCACCCTACACCCTGCACCCTACACCCTGCACCCTGCACCCTACACCCTGTACCCTGCACCCTGCACCCTACACCCTACACCCTGCACCCTACACCCTGAACCCTGCACCCTACACCCTGAACCCTGCACCCTACACCCTGAACCCTACACCCTGTACCCTGCACCCTGCACCCTACACCCTGCACCCTGCACCCTGCACCCTACACTCTGCACCTTGCACCCTGCACCCTGCACCCTGCACCTTGCACCCTGCACCCTGCACCCTGCACCCTACACCCTGCACCCTGCACCCTGCACCCTACACCCTGCACCCTGCACCCTGCACCCTACACCCTGCACCCTGCACCCTGCACCTTGCACCCTGCACCCTGCACCCTGCACCCTACACCCTGCACCCTACACCCTGCACCCTGCACCCTACACCCTACACCCTGCACCCTACACCCTGCACCTTGCACCCTGCACCCTGCACCCTGCACCCTACACCCTGCACCTTGCACCCTGCACCCTGCACCCTGCACCCTACACCCTGCACCTTGCACCCTACACCCTGCACCCTACACCCTGCACCCTACACCCTGCACCCTACACCCTGCACCCTACACCCTGCACCCTACACCCTGCACCCTACACCCTGCACCCTACACCCTACACCCTGCACCCTACACCCTGCACCCTACACCCTACACCCTACACCCTACACCCTGCACCATGCACCCTGCACCCTGCACCCTGCACCCTGCACCCTGCACCCTGCACCCTACACCCTGCACCTTGCACCCTGCACCCTGCACCCTGCACCCTGCACCCTACACCCTGCACCCTGCACCCTACACCCTGCACCCTGCACCCTGCACCCTACACCCTGCACCTTGCACCCTGCACCCTGTACCCTACACCCTACACCCTGCACCCTACACCCTGCACCCTGCACCCTGCATCCTACACCCTGCACCTTGCACCCTACACCCTACACCCTGTACCCTGTACCCTACACCCTGCACCCTACACCCTGCACCCTACACCCTACACCCTGCGCCCTACACCCTGCACCCTACACCCTGCACCCTACACCCTGCACCCTACACCCTACACCCTGCACCCTACACCCTACACCCTGCACCCTGCACCCTACACCCTGCACCTTGCACCCTGCACCCTGCACCCTACACCCTGCACCCCACACCCTGCACCCTGCACCCTGCACCCTACACCCT